AATGATGCAAAAGTCAAGATGGTGACAACAAAAAATCTCAATGCTTCAAAACTGTAGTCCAAATAACAATAGGTCCTCCCTGTGACAAAATCCACTTCTTATAGTCGATGGTATACCCTAAACTATTCCTTTTGTGCAACATATCTCCTCTTATAGCAAGGGGCCTGAAATGACACTGTTACATTCAATTAATACATTGCTATTACTGAAAATTTGTTTTTCTATTGACTCAAGATTTAAATGATCCATTTCTGATTACAGAAAGGTCAGACGAATGTGTGTATCCACTATTGATAAAGAACCATAGAGATAGCAAAGTAACCATGGCACACACAGGTGACCTTAGAGCTCTATTTTTGCACCAGTTTCTCATCTAGTTGTCGCCTGACCCTACTAAAAAAAAAACTCAGATAAAATCTCATTTACTTAAACAGCCACCAGCACCCACCCACCCCCACCCCCACACCCACACACACACACACACACACACACACACACACACTGCCAGAGAGGTCCAAATGACATCAGTTGGATCAATCACGCCGAGGGGGCATTTGTTGGAAGCAGAAAAGCCTGCACTTGCTCCTGAGCTGCAGATAAAGAAACATTGATTTGCCCTCTCAGCACAACACTACCTTCCCAGACTCACTCACGTTAAAAATAGACTGTGACGAACTAGAAAGCAAATAACGAAAGAAGAATTTGTCACTAAGCGAGAAGCGCCTGTGAGGAGCGTGCTCTTACTGCGGAATCCACTGTGTGGGCTCCCCAGGGTGCTGGTGACTTTCTGGGGCACTCTTCTTGTGTAAATACAAGCACCTCCACACCGTCATTCTGCCTCTGAGCAATAGGGGTATCTCTTTGTGCAAGATATGAGAGTCATGTGAAGGTGTAAGTGAAACAGAAAACCCTTTAATGGGGAAAAGCGGCTAAAGCAAAGGAGGGAACTCTCTTTCAAGAAGATACCAAGAGTTATAGACCATAAAGGGCAGACAGGTGTAGCAGTGAGAAAAGTTATAGTAAGTAATAGTATACTGTAGAAGTATGCATTACAAAGTCAAAAGAAGGCCAAATTCCAACAGTAAAATAAAGAAAATATATCATTTTAACCGAGGCCGACATTTTTTTATTTAGATTCTACTAATCGCCTTTTAACCTAAAATAACAGATGTCTTTGGTCACTACAGGAAATAAGCTCAACAACAGACATATTCTAACTTGTTACAGATGGCTGTTTGTATGATGGCTTTTTGACACATTCAGCAGATATGGAGCAATAATGGTCCCATCTGATGCAGGTCCTGGACACACAGCTTTTAGCTTCGTGTTTGGTCTCCTCCGCCCCTCAATGGAAAACAGTGCTCTGTAGCAGTTAATGCTTCACATTGTTCAACAGCTAGTCGCTATCTTTTACCGTTGAAAGCTAGGCAGGTACAGTGCCGGCAAAGCCTTTCTGTTGAAAAGAGCAGACAGCTGAGGGCAAAAAGGACAATATGAACCCAATGAAACAAAAACAAAGTTTTAAAAAGTAACTATTACAGTAGCTGAAAGATTCTATAAAGCGCTAAAGAGCTTAAAAGGGAACTTAAGATCTTTCACTCTAGCTAGCATTTATATATCATATACAACAGCTGTGGCCACCAATGACACCAACAGGATAATTGATACTTGAACAATGGCACAAGTAAATACACAGCAATATTTAGTTATAATAGTGAGTACTGCTAGCTAACACATGCTAACTGGTCATGACCGGCCAAAATAAGACTGTAGCAGGAACTCCCCTTTGTGTGTTGAATTGAGCAAGGGTGAAATCTCATGTTGATTTAATGAGTGACAAAATAATAAAATATTAAAATATCTTGAGAGCTTTCTGGGGCTTTGTTTAATCCAAATAGCAGCCGGGACACAACCCATCACTAGCCATAACACAACCACAGACCCTAGACACTTCCCATCAGAGACACCTCTTCTCTCTCAAACAGAGCACATCTCAGCAGCTTGGCAGCAGCATCTGCCTGTCCTCGCTGTATTTCCTCCCCAGCTCAGCCGAATAATGAATAACTGGAACATGTCCTCAATCTGTCTCTCGTCATCACTTTAACGGATCATTAGTTTTACTTTCCACCGATTGATCACTATCTAAACTTTTTGTTTTCCCTTCTTTCGTGCAGATCTTTCTCAGTTCCACATTGGTAAAGTCACATTATGTCATCTCACAGCTGCAGAGGCCTTTCAATTTCCTCACACAGCTCAGCTGCTGCTTCCTGCAAGAGAACTCAAAGTAATGAGGCGCCTATTGAAGCCAAATCAGTGAATATATCACAGGCGTGATCTCTGAAACAGTGCGGAACGTGCAGTCCCTTAGATAGATGGAATAGGACGCTGAGATGTAGCGAGAACCTGGAATAATTAAAAGGCTTTTTTGCAAACTGTCAAATCGTCCCTCCTTATAGAACTGTGTGTGAAAGTGAGCTGAGGAAGACTGCAGCTGTTCTGACAGCAGGACCTTGGAACAAGCAGTTTCTCCCTCACAAAATAGGAAATGTTCACACCCAGTCTGCTGCATTTTACAAGTCGCCAAAGATTTAGATTTGACATTGGTGTCAGACAGCAGCTAGATAGATAGACGGAGAAAGAAAGATAAACCAGAGGCAGCCAAACAGAGAGCTCTCTGGATACAGGCACTCCTGTTCCACATATCGACCGTTCACACAAACACCTGCTTAACATTTCAGCCCATCAAAAAGAAATGGCAGAGCACGTTTCTGGACGCTATTCATCAGCTCAAGGCAGCGCCGTCTTTTTGTCTGTCAGACGCTGTCATTTCGGAGCGCAGATAAAAAGAAGAATGAAGCAGGAGGGGGAATATTCGACTGAAGTCAGCACATGATAGTTTCATAAATCAGCTGGCTGGAAATAAAAAGAGTTGAGGGAATAAATTAGATGTGGGGGCGATGAATAATGTATGGACCAGAGGGAGGGTTAGAGGCAGAGTCGCGGTTACTGTACGCTGATGTTCTTCTTAGTGTTAACTTTGAATGCATTTGCCTGTAGAGTTGTTCTCTACTTTACAACATGCTTAGAGGATTCTGATCTTAGCAGTGGTGGAAAGTATACAAGTACTGAACACATATCAGGTACTTGTACTTCTCTTGATCATTATAGAGACCCGTGAAACACAAGAACATATACAAATCACACTGAAGGCATTAGTTGTTTAATCCTCTGACGTAATTGCAATTAATTTCAATATGATAAACCTTTACTCGTGTTAAAAATAAAATGCAGAAATATATATCTACTGCTTTTCATTTGAATCATTTGACTCATGTTGAATATTTTGGGGGGCTTGTTGGACAAACAAACACTGTGAAGGTGTTACTTTGGGGTATTGGTTGACGGCAGCGCTAATTTGTGACATTTTAGAAATGGATAAATTGAGAAAATGATCGTTAGATGAATCCATAGAAGAAATTATGTTGAAATCCTATTTGGTTTAAAAATGTTGCTTCATATCAAACAACAAATTCAATCTAATAATCCAATGATAAAACATAAAGTATAACAATATAACCCTCAGGGGGTATTTTTCAGTATGCTTTTATTACTTGCGTTTTCAAGACAATCCTTTTGCTAGTATATTGTAATATTTTACAGTATGGTATACACATGCTACTGACTAGGTCACTTGGTGTATTTGGATCTAAAAGTGATATTATCCATAACAACTTCACTGCTGCCTGCACTAGATTCAGACATGAATTAGCACTACCTCTTAAGAGAGACACTGGTAAATAAATATCAAAACAAAGCAAACCAAATGGCAAAGAAGGAGTTTTTGCTGGCTGTTATCGTACTGCGTTAATATTCCAAAAGTACCCAGGGGGCCTATGTGAGTGTGTGTGTGTGGTTTCACATTAAAGCACACAGGCTTACTCCTGCATCCGGGAGTCTCTGGGCTGGGGAGATGTTGTGCAGTGAATTCCTTAATGCTCAACCTCATACTACCAAGCAATCAGCATCACTGGATTCAGGCATGGATGCAGGGTCTACCCACATTTTCATCTTGGAGAATATGTAGGCTAACATACTAGAATTACTATTTTTCACACACACCAAACTAATGCAAGTTATGTGTTAAATGAGACTAATAAGGACTTTTAAACGTACACTTGAAGTGAACACATATTGTGAAATAAGACAAGATGGTACTTGTTTCATACAATACAGGATTTCAGACATGTCACATGCAGGCTGGTGTTTTTTGGGAAGGGGTCTTAAAGAGACAGGCACTAAAACAGAGTGTTTCAGAACAAGAATGGCTACAAGTATAATCAAACAGACAGTATGAGGAAAATAAAAATGTTTTCTGACGATTAAAACATGTAAAGATGTTTCAGTAAAACCCCAAATACAAGTATGAACCCGAAAAATTAGGATGATATGTCATAAACATAAAGGTCAGTTTACTATTAATCTTCTCAAAAAGAGTGTGTTCATTTTTCTTTTTGACATGGAGTCTACATTTCAGACATTCATTTTAAAAGAAGTGATCAATTACAAATCAGGGGGCGTTGCATCTTGGGAAACGCAGGGTTTAAGTGTGATTTGCTCAGCGTGTGCTGCACCAATTGCCTTTTTGTTTCTATCTCTTCTTAAGCCCCCAGCCTAAAGGAAATGCATTACTAAAGTGTTAGAGTGCCCCTTTAATGTGAAACACAAAAGGGATATTTGTGTTATCCAGAAAAATTAATGTTTTCAATGCTGACAACCCAGAAGATGAGACACATCACTAACCTGAACTGGAGTCTGACATGCCTTTAACACAGACCTCACACACAAAGGCAGATCACCATGCTAGCTCACTAGCAGCTGTACAGTCACACACACACACACACACACACACACACACACACACACACACACACACACACACACACACACACACACACACACACACACACACACACGTTTGCCACATTAATTAGTGAAAGTACTGACGCTGCGCGGAGCTGTCCACATACCGCGGTGCTGAACCACACCGCTGCCGCAATACAACTCTAATCTATGAAAAAGAAAGTGTGCACGTGTCAAACATAGCTGAAGGATCACAATACATCATCATAAACACTTAAACGGACATAACTCAATCAGCTAAAACCATGAGAATGCAACATTGAGAGTTACAGAGGGAGTTATGCAGGTGAAGTGATACCCCTCCTAGAATCGAGCTATGGCAGCATGACAAAGCTTAACGCAACATGATCATGGCAAAACCACACACAAAACCGGCAAAACTGCATACCAGCTGCCCTTAAAAATCATGCCGGTGTTTCCCAGAATATAGTTAGGCCGTGCATACTTAGCTGCAGCCCCGATCATTACTTACACATAAGCGTGGTAGATGAACGCCCATCCCCGCGGTCTCTCCAGCGCATTGTAGAGGAAACTCTGTAGTTTCCGATAGCTGGCATTTTTCTTCGATGGTCGGGGTCTCCCGGCGGAGATGCTGGACCTCGGTCTGCAGAGGATGCTGTTCCGCTTGGTGCTGTCCGAGCCCGCAATGAGTAGCGCCCCGTCCCTGCTGGATTCAGGAGCCCCGGGGTCCAATCCGACAAAACCGACTTTGTGCTTCTTCTCCCCGGCTTGAGTTGGGTAAACCCCGCCGTTGAGAGATTTCTTCACCATCCTAAAGTCGGCTCTAACGAGGAGTTGTCCGTGCCCGTGCCGCGAGGATGCATCCCCGGTGCTGAGGGGTGTGTGTGCTGGTCCTGAATGCAGTCAGTGTCGGTGCCCCCTAGAAAACCAATCGCAATAAGCATGCGAAACTGCACACTGTATGCTTTTCACGTTAGCCCCTTCCGGCCATTTGACAGACACGGCAAGGAGGCACATTATCTGCAGTCTTATCATGCTGGCCATCAGAAATATATCTGCAATCATGTAATGGCACAGGAACACTGCAAAGTTCAATTGAACATGCATCCAGCTGTCTTCTAATGCAATAACAGCTGGTCTGGTGTGTCACTTAGGGGGCTCAAATCTTTGCAAGTTATTGATTAGAAGAAGATCTTCCCTGTGGTTTCACCGCATTTTCGAAAAATATGACCCAAGATAACCTTTCATCCTCTCGGGGAGAAGCTGCAGGGAAGAAGATGCATGATCATGCAATATTCATGTGTTGGCTCTCTTATAAACTATATGTCAAGCTTTGTTTTTTTAATGTTTGACTCCTCTGATTGAGCAATGTTGAAATAAACATACAGTACTTGCCAAAATCTAAAAGGCATCTGTCAACATGCAGTTAAGGCGTACAAAAAGAAAGGCTAATAAAGAATCAATTAGCTGGGCATTAAAAGGCAACATAATGTACATTAATTAAGGGATTAGGACTGAATAATGTAAATGCATAAGAGTAGAAGTAAATTCAGTTTCCCCATGATAAACACCCAGACAGGAAAAGATCAGAGTTATGGAGTTTCAAAAGGAAACTACTTCAATCAAAGGCTAGAGAGACAGCCTGCTGATCAGGTGGACTTCCAAGTCATTCATATAACAGTACTGACAAACACAGTAGACCAAAGCAACAGAAACAGAAAACACATTATAAAAAACAGAACAATTAAGTGTAAAAGAATAAAATAACTTCCTCACAAGAGGGACAGCACTTGCCAACATCATCATACTGTGAACATTTTTATTTTCTAACTTGTTAAGATTGCATTTACAATGATAATTTTAGAAAGATTCAAACAAGATTCCTTTGTACAGTTATTTTCAAGCAACATAAAAATTGCAAATAAAGTATATACAAAAACATTAGAATAATGTAAATAAAAGTGTAATCAGTGACATGATTGTTTGTCCAGCTACACCAACATGCTGCAGTCATTAGCTAATTTAAACTGGTAAAACACGTCAAACTAGATTATGGTAATAAATGCTGCATTCTGGGATTTTTATACAATATACACTGCTCGGACTAAGAGCACATTTGATGAGGGGGAAGGAGAAATATCCGCTGAGTCTTACATGCCAACAGAGGGTTGAAATGGACAGTGGCCATGCTACTGCCGAGGGATGTGGGGAGACTATTCTCACATGCTCCGATTGCTTTTCAATAAATAAAAAGGACTAAGTGATCTGCCTAATGAGTGCAGCATGTCCAGACAGAGTCATGTCCAACCTTTTTAACAGTCAAAGAGTTGTCAGTGAGGTTACGCTCAGCAAAGAGAAACTCTTCAAAATGCACAGTCATGATCACAATTAATGTATTACTCCATAAAAATAATAATCACATTTCACTTATAGCATTAATCAGACATATCCTTTATATTATTATCTGACTTTGCTACAGTTTGTATGTACAACTTAAAATATTTTGTAAAATAATGTTACTGTGTTTCAGCTCTGAAACCATCCCTTTGTTGACGTCACCCACAAACTGCTTACAGTACTTTTTGCTAACACTTGAATGGACCAATCATTGTGCTTTTTGAATACCTACAGTAAATACAACAGTTCCCAGACAATGTAAAAACCAATAAAAAAAAAAAATCAAAATAATGTCTTAGTTGACAGAAGGCAATCCTTCAACTAACACATTTTGAATTAATATATTAATAATTTAATAACCTGTTGGATCGTGTGTGCTTATGAAAAGCAGCCTTGTATGGTTTGATTTAGCTTCCTTTGTCCTTATTCGGATTAGCTAGCTTCTGCTCCTCTTCCCTCCTTTTGCTCTCCCTGAATGTAACACTTCCTGACGTTATATGACGTGTCAATATATTTAAAAAAACACACACACAAGCAGTTATGTCTTAAAAATAAAAAATAAAAAAAGGCATGCCATTGGTCCTTTAAATACTGTTCAATACGTAGGATGGAATGCTTTTAGATTCTTTAATACCTGATATAGTATAAGTGAGGGGTAAAAATACTCCTTCCGGACACAATAAATAACTATCCTTCATATAGTGCCGTAATACAGTACCCACACTAAAACCTACAGTAATTGCACAGTAACCACATGCAAAGGGCTGAAGAAAGAGCAGCCCTCCCCCTCTATCATCCGTCTTTTCATCTTTCCATCAAACCCTACTTTCATCTCTCTGTCTATTCTTTGACTTTCAACAGCTATTCAGTCAGCCAACATATGTCAAATACCAGGGTACTCCACTTCTCTCGGGGTCCCAGCATTACGCCCTGGGGAACACCAGCCAAACAGAGAAAGAGACAGGAGTTGCAGTCCAAGGCATAAGACGACAGTCAACTAAAGGTAGTTTGGTTAATCCAGTTAATAATATGAGTTTGATAAGGAGCTTAATCATTGGGTGATGCCTGAAGTTGGCCTCTCCTCTTAACTTGTGAATATGTTTGCACCAGATGTGTGTAGAGAGACAGGCAAAGCAATAACACTTCTATCTGGTTGGCTTCCAACAGCAGTATATGACTAGTCTTGAGTTTCAGGCTGTGTCTTTATCACTGTAGATGCTCTCTGGTAGCTGTCATTAGTCATTTGTACAGTTATGTTTTGTCTGTACTCTGCACAGAAGACTAGTGGTATCCGTGATGGAATGATCCCTGAAAATGGAGCAGTGGGGGAGGATCTCCTGGACAGAAACCGGTGAGACTCGCACTCTTTTGTTAATGTCATCTCTCGTCATATCCTTCACATTCACCCTTTCTCTGACAAGCTTGCTGAAGTGACGGTTTTCTTTAGAGGTCTCCATCTGAAGGTGGCAAACACAGCTTGAAGAGCCTGTGGAAGAAGAACAACTGGATGTGAGAAAATCCATCTTGTCTAAGACCATATTATTTTCAGATGGCATAAGAAAGATACTAAACAAAGTTGTATACAGTACCTTGGGAATGCTGGAGTCATCTGGTCCATAACTTTGAGATTTTTAGCAGAGAGCTCAACTCTTGGCCCCTATTAAAAGAGAACAAATATGCTATAAGCAAAGGTTCTAAAGAGTTTTGCAACTTCAAGCCCAGCTTTGATTTCTAAAAAACGTATTTGGACCAGATTCATTCAAATACATAAGAAAAACAAAACATGACAATAACTAAAATACTGGACCTTAAAAATATATTATGCCACCGTCAACTGTAATGATAAAAAACAAATGAACATTCCTAATTATGCAAAAATTAACTAGCCTTGTAAATTACGACCATAAACAACAACATTTTGCAGATCCTCCGCGGCCCACATAAATGCTGACTCAGCATCCAAAAATCTCTATATGTCTAGAAATACTTGCTGTAAAGCAAATGCATTATCATAAAACACATTGATTATTATTTGATACAATTGACCAAATGTATCAATGTGGTAGAATTGTTCTGGTTCAGTTAAAGAGTAGGTGAGAGAAATGTTCGACCACTATAGTAACTCTAACTGTGTATCAAATGCAGGCTGGGTTATGAGGTAAACCACTTTTGGTATATCAGTACCGTGACAATGTGATTATACCTAGTTATCATTATCAAAGTTCTGTTGTTTAAATTACATATTTCTAATCTAATTGTTTTCTGTTTACTACTTTAACAAGCTCAGGTATTTAACGAAAGACGTAATAATTAATGCGAAAAAATTTAAAGAATATTCACTCATTCATTTTGCATTACTGAATTATGCCCAGTCCTAGTTCCTACTAAATTAATTTCTAAGGTAACGAAAGGATGTTAAAATAAGAGTGAAAAAGGTTTTTTTCTGAAATTATCTATAAAGAAAAACATGCAAATAATCTGCCTTAGAGTTGTACCTGTTTGCGCATTATGTCCATGGTCTGCATGATGCAGCGCGGCATGAGACCGTGGTTCCTCGATAGTATCATTGCCTGCTCCAGTGTCACATTCAAGGTACATCTGCCAAAAATAAAAACATGTGATAGGTCAGTAAGAAAGACACTAATAGGGTTGTCAATATATGGACATCTGTATCAGCAGCAGAAATGAATTCAAAACTGTGAGTTGAAGCCTCAGTCCACTGTGCAAATCTTTATTCCAGCTGACAGTCGAGTGGTGCTTCACAATCAGTCTAATCGTGTTAAGGTGGTGCCAGGCTGACCTCTGCATGCCGGTGCCACACATGGTGATGTGGCAGGCTCCCAGGCGGTTACACAGCTCCGAGGACACGCACAGCACGCTGACACCTGACGGGTGGCCCTGGGCGCTGTGCCGTACGTTGACGTACGACTGCATGAGTCGGCACAGGTCGTCTAGCGTGTTGAGGGGTCGCAGCAGCTGTGAGGAGGAAACCAAGGTCAGAGAGGGTCAGCGGTTAAATGGACAGCTGGAAAAAGATACAGGACAATGTGGCAAAAGTGGCCATCTCACCAAGTCATTTAGAGTATTATTGGGTGTCATTCAGTTTATTGGTATATTCAGTTAAAACTACATAGAAATGGTTGATTTCCTACGTACTGTAGTTCTGAAAATGTTCTTAAGGCAAGACAGTATATTTACAATACACAATACTAACAAATAGTACATTAATATCCATTAAATTAGACAGAAACTAGATTTGTATTCAAATCATATTACTTGGTTTTTGATATAAAAGAGTTATATATAGAGTTGCAAGAAAAAGTATGCGAACCCTTTGGAACTACCTGGATTTCTGCATAAATTGGTCATAAAATGTGTTCTGATCTTCATCTAAGTCACAACAATAGACAAACACAGTCTGCTTAAGCTAAAACCACACAAACAATTATATGTTTTTATGTTTTTATTGAACACACCATGTAAACATTCACAGTGCAGGGTGGAAAAAGTATGTGAACCCTTGGATTTAATAACTGGTTGACCCTCCTTTGGCAGCAATAACCTCAACCAAACGTTTCCTATAGTTGCATATCAGACCTGCACAACGGTCAGGAGGAATTTTGGACCATTCCTCTTTACAAAACTGTTTCAGTTCAGCAATATTCTTGGGATTTCTGGTGTGAATCGCTCTCTTGAGGTCATGCCACAGCATCTCAATTGGGTTGAGGTCAGGACTCTGACAGGGCCACTCCAGAAGGCGTATTTTCTTCTGTTGAAGCCATTCTGTTGTTGATTTACTTCTGTGCTTTGGCTCGTTGTCCTGTTGCATCACCCATCTTCTGTTGAGCTTCAATTGGTGGACAGATGGCCTTAAGTTCTCCTGCAAAATGTCTTGATAAACTTGAGAATTCATTTTTCCGTCGATGATGGCAATCTGTCCAGGCCCTGAGGCAGCAAAGCAGCCCCAAACCATGATGCTCCCTCCACCATACTTCACAGTTGGGATGAGGTTTTGATGTTGGTGTGCTGTGCCTTTTTTTCTCCACACATAGCGTTGTGTGTTCCTTCGAAACAACTCAACTTTGGTTTCATCTGTCCACAGAATATTT